TGGCAGGTCTGGGTTTAGTTTCCCTGTCTAGCCCAAGTTGCTGGACATCCTCTCCCAAAGAGCTCTGGGGGAAGATGAGTTTGGGAGTGAAGCTGTTATCAAGAGGATCCTCGTCGTGGCTGGCTGATACGGAACGCGTCGCTAACTGTGTGCAGATTAAGGAAAAAAATACTGTTATCTATTTGAGGAATTAGTTAAACATAGATACTACTCTGAGACTTCTTGCTGTGCTCCTGGTTACTGTTGAATGTGAGCGCTTGCTTTTAGTCCGCTTGCCAGCTTGAGAAAATCCCAGGGAAAATACCCCAATTAAAGAAGCCATTGCCTTAGCTATATCATATGTGGTATCTCTTAAACTGCTTAATATTTAAAAAAAAAAATAAAATTACCTTGGTACCTATATTTTCCCCCCTTTAATGTTAGTTTTTCAAAGAGGCACAAATCCCTGGCGATTACGTTCATCTTGGGACCCAGGCGTTTGTAGAAGCCGTGCTTCTAACGTGCCGGGGCTAAGCTACGAGTGACTCATTAGCCAGATGGAGCTGTAATTTATTTCTGTCTTCTCGAGTAAGCTAATCCCCTGGACCTAAACTGAACAAATATCCCGCGGAACGTGGTATCTGCGCAGGGTGAAACTTGAGATTTAAATGCAAAAAGCAAAGGGGTGTGTTTCAGAATCCAGGGCAGCGTTAACTAGCGGAGGAGGTCAGGTGCAAGCAGCGGCACGGCGCTGGAGTTCAGAAATAGTTATTCTCTGTGGCACGGGCTCTGCTGAGGGGAACAAAAGTGCGATTCTTTTGTTAAACGCAGAGTGGGAACAGTGACCGAGGCTGCGCGCGGGCTGGGACAGACGCGGTTTGTTCCCCTTTTCCAGAATGACTAACGGGATGATGCGAGTTCTTGAATTGACAAGCGAGACGGGAGCGTGTCTGCAAGTGGGGAGCCTGCCCGGGGCGCTGGGCAGCTGGGCTCTGAGAAACGTGCCCCATAAATATCAGGTTAAATAGCAAATACAGTTCAAAGGTGAGTATTTAACCAAATACCTTGAAATTTGAATGCAGCTAAAGTCCATGTGCCTCTTGGCAGTAGCAACGGCGTGTGTACGTGCGATTTCTGCCACGTGTGCCTTGCCTGGGCATCACGGCTTTGAGTGGGTAGAGTTGATGCAGCCGCCCCAGAAAGTTGTCTGAGGGAGGGCTGAGAGTGATAAGTCCCCTTGCCAGCACTTCTTAAGGAGAGAAGTAATACTTTTGTGAGGGTATCTCATATTTCCATAGCTAACAGGAATGGGAGGAATCATAAAACTAAATCCTGAGGAGTAGTTAAGCTGGTATGTGAAGGGCTTTTTAAAGTTTATGGAGCGTTTGCTTTTTTTCTAGTTTAATAGAAGGAGCTGCTTTGTCTTGTTTATTTTCATATGCCATAGGACTCTTTTTTCCCCCCCTATAGATCGCTTCTGTTTTTTCCTAAATGGCTTGTCAATGTTATACAGAAGTATTACTTTTTTAGTAATTGTAGATTGTCGGAGGACAACTGGAGACTGTGTGAGCCAAAAGACTGCGTATTTGCCCCATGGCAAGGGTTTCTCTTTATAAAGACGTCTTGACAAGGGGGGATGGTGAAGGATGTCATCTTGTCGTTCTGCCTACAAGCCAGCAGCAGTGGTATCCTTCTTCTAGGAGTGATTTTTAAATCCTCTTGCTTGCGATGGGCTGAGATTGAAAATTAAGAGTATAACCATCAGAGCAGAGCTTTCGTTTGCTGTTACTGGGTGTGCTTAATCAATTCTAGTTACGTCCTGAGGCTATTGTTTTTATTTTTTTTTTTTTTTTTTGAACCCTGCGTAAATGTGAAAGGCTGGATTTGTGCATGAGGGATTTCCTGCTGGACTTTGGAGATCAGATCTGCTGCCTCTGTTCGCAGTGTTTGGGGTGGAAGTTCTTCACTCTGAGAGTGGCGAGGCACTGGAACAGGTTGCCCAGAGAAGCTGTGGTTGCCCCATCCCTGGAAGTGTTCTAGGGCCAGGTTGGATGAGGCTTTGAGCAACCTGGTGTGGTGGATGGTGTCCCTGCCCATGGCAGGGGGGTTGGAACTAGATGATCTTTGAGGTCCCTTCCAACCCAAACCGTTCTGTGATTCTAAGTGTTCATTTGGCTCACGCTCTGCTTTGCCTAGATGAAGGAGAGGAGGACAGGAGCAGCAGCAGAGCCTGAGGAGGCTCTGGATCCTGGCGTAAGGTGCAAATGTTCCTATTGCACAAGTGGAGTTAAATGCAAGGAGGGGCGAGCAGGGTGGTGGACGGAGGCTTGGGAGAGCTCTGATGCTCGGCCAGCTCTGAGATCAGAGCTCATCTTGTCCAGTACATACTCCCCACTCAGACTAGCTGTTATAATTACGTATTTATGGCTCCTCTTGGAAGCAGCTGAAGCTTTTAAATGCGTCTAGCCTCTCTGGTCTCAAAGGAACTATCATTTTCTGCATCTATCTGGTCCTGCCTTGAGGACCATCATACCTCCTCACGCTTGACGTCTTGAGCCTTTACAATGTGCGTTTTGCTGAGTGTGTGATTCAGCCTGAGCATCTGGTGTCAGGTGCTGGGGAATGTGTAGGGATGGCTACAGGGTGTGATTGTCCCGGCTCGGCTGAAGCAATCGGATGAATTTACGGCCAGCTGCGTGCTTGTGTATGCAAGGCAGAGGTGGGTTGTTCTGGGCTCTTTGTGGTTAGGTATTGTAATTGTTGCAGTAATGTACTGTACTGATCAACTGAATTACACTTGTGAAAAATCTGCTTAATTACATATTTACTTTGGGGATTAGCTTCTCCCGTAAGCGTTCAATATTGACTTTGGCTGAGACAAATTTTCAAGATCTGCTTCCTTCAAGAGATGACTAATATTAGATCACTTAATGCAGGGAGCTGGTTTTATCAAGTAGCTGTAACTAATAATTTTGAAAGCTCCAGCTTAGTTTTGAGCATCTGTGCTGCTTTTTCCCCCAAAAGACAAGCTTTTCTTCCCATCCCTCTCAGCCCTTCTGAAACTCTGTGCTGGAGGTAATTCTAGACCCAACCTTTTCAGTGAGCTGTGCGCACACAAGAAAAAACCACAGACTAGGAGGAGACTTAATGTTAAGATGACTGATGAATAATTAGTGTATTGAAATGTTAGTCTTTTATTTGGATAACTTAATAGCTGAATTAGAGTTCCCACTCCTTGCTTTCTGTGCTGCTCGATGCACTGTACAAATACATTATATCACAGTAACTCATTTCTGTTCAGAAACTATTCCATATGACAACTCTTCCCTCTTGAGCTAGAGCCAGGCTCCAAACCAAGCTCTTGCCAACGTGGCAGGATGGCAAGCTAGTTTACGACAGCATCTTCCAGCATAACCAGGAGTCGAGGTAAAACAACCTTGAATGTAATACTTCCAGATATTTAAAGAGTAATCCTCTGTCTGTCCAGAAGCAAGGAGAGCCTGTCCTCTCCCTGCACCATGCAACTTCTACATGGACTTTATAGCCTGTGCCCTCAGTAGGCACATCTGTCATCTTCTAAGTAGCAGTGGAAACACCCCAAGCAATATTGCTTTAAGCTGTGGAGACACCCTCCTGCTCTTTTGGGGTCATCTTGCTTATGTCTCAGCCTGTGTGAAGCTTTCATCCTCAGCTTGGTTGAGGAGAAGCAGAAGGACAAACCGATGTGTAGCTGTACCCAGAGTCACTAACAGTACAAGGTTTCTCAAGTGTTGTTGGGGGCCTTTGCACGCGTTGGCTGTGTTGGGGGATGTTGCAGTTGAGCAGGGACTGCAGAGAAGGTGACAAAGATTGAGGAACACAACCTGGGTTAGATCTCTTTCCTTTCATTCCCAAGAGAATGGATTTCTTAAGGGACAGTTGAGTTTGAAAAGCTGCCTGTTCTTCTATGGAGAAAAATGTAGTTGAAGCATGTGCTTTCCGTAGTGGTTTTCAAACTGAGTTGGTGAATTGGGAATTGCACTTATTTATTTAGTTTTGATTGTGGTTTTTTTCAATAGTGCTTTTTTTTTTTTTCCTTGAAACAAACAGTCTGGAGAAGATTTGAATTCTTCCTTCAAAAATCCAAGTCTGTTCGTCATGATCAGTTGTGAAATGGGAAAATCTGGCTTGTCTTGACCCCTGAAATTAGGTTTTTTGCTTCATCCTGACTTTTTTAAACTTTGTGGTTCCTGCTTTATTTTAAAAAACTAAAATTAATGCTCAAGTTTTAAGTAGTGTTTTCAACAAATTATCCTAGAGTCATCTTGTCTGTTAGTGCACTGGAAGTTGTACACTGTTACATGCACAAAATAAGTAACAGATCTTCCTGTTTTCCTATAAATGTGTGGAATTTTCATGAGTTTAAGGCTGGGTTTTAGACTTCAAAAAGCAGTTTTGAAACTACCTGATTCTTTATGGTTGACTAAAATTTAGGGCTCTTTCCCTCATTCCACTTCTGAAGCTGTCATAAATCTGGGAACAAAAGGAAGTGGAAATTTAACTCCCACTTGCCAAGATAAAAATCTTAATTCATTATGTTTGATTTACAGCAGGAAAAAAAAAAACCCACAAACGTTTCTCTTCTGGTACTGGTCTTTATTTCACAGCCTCTGAAAGTGCTGTCTCATGTATTTCTGAAATCAGAAGCTTTCATTTTATGAAATTCACTTGGGAAGGGAAAATGAGGAAAATGGAGAAAAATAAGAAAGAGGAGAACTGCTCTCTTCCAAGAGCAGCAGTCTTGCAAACTGCAGTTCCTTCCTATCCAAGCTGACAGCTTTGAAGCAGATGGTAAATGGTTCCAGAAGTTGTTCTGTGGTGGATATAGCTTGGTAATTTTATTAAAAGCTATTTTAAGGCTTCTCTAAAACAATGACAAAGCTTCTTTTATTATTATAATTGGTGAGGGAAATAATATCAAGGAAAACCTGTTCACAGCCTAATTTTTTTTTTTCTTTTCTTTTTCCTCTCTAGGATTTTTTTTAAATATAGCTAAGAAAAAAGCACAATGGAGTTTTACGAGTCTACCTACTTTATCATCCTCATTCCTTCTGTGGTTATTACAGTCATCTTCCTCTTCTTCTGGCTTTTCATGAAAGAAACTTTATATGATGAAGTCCTTGCAAAACAGAAAAGGGACCTAAAGTTTCCACCTACCAAGACTGATAAAAAGAAAACGGAGAAGAAGAAGAACAAGAAGAAAGAAGCTCAGAACGGGAACATCCATGAGTCTGACTCTGAAAGTACACCTCGGGACTTCAAGCTCTCCGATGCCCTGAGCACGGATGAAGAGCATGTCGCTCCTGTTCCCTTGAGCGTGACTGAAGCATCTACCGGCGTTAGAGAACGGAAGAAGAAGGAGAAGAAGCATAAGGCCGTTCAAGATGATCATGTAACTAGGGATTCGGAAGGATCCAAGTCTTCAGGCAAGAAAGTAGAACCAGTCCCTGTTACAAAACAGCCCACTCCACCATCTGAATCAGCAGCATCTAAGAAGAAGCCTGGGCAGAAGAAGCAGAAAAATGGAATGGGTATCTGATATTGCATATGCTTCTTGCACAGAACGCCAAAACTGTGTTCTGCTTTTTGCAAGGCCACAGAGTGTCTCTCACAACTGTTCTGCCTGATCTCTATGGGGCAAAGCTCACTTCTAACCTTTTCCTTTTTATGAGCTATTGCTTTTTTTCTCCCTGTTTTCATCTGGCAGCAATGCTCTGGTTTTCCTCCTCCTGTCCTTGCTTTCTTCTGCTAAAGATCGTTGAGGGAAACAGAGCAGCTCACATCTCTGCTTTGCTCTGTGGTTTGGCTACTTTGCTCTTGAGCTGTCAAAATTATGATTACCTGAAGGAAGCCATTAGATGTTTGCTGTGTGTGTTCTGATGTCAAGCACTGAAAAAGTGGAGTCCTGAGAGTGGTTGCTCTGATAAGGAAGGGCATCTAGAGAAACCTCAAAGCAGAGTGTGCAAAATAAATCACTGTTGAAGTGCAGGCTTAACGTACAAAGAGGTGTTTGGTGGCTGATTCATGGAAAGAAGCACTTAAAGCTGCTTCCCACCTGCTTCACCTCTTTAACTGAATGGAACTGATGCTGAAAGGAAACTGGTCCGGCCGTTGTAGCTGAAGCATCCACCCTAGAACAGACTATAAAACTGTAGTCAGAATTGCCTGAGACTGTTTTGTCAACTTCTGCTGAGGATATGGTCATGTCTCTGTGGTTGTCTCACTATAAATAGAAATTAAAAAATAAAGATACTCAGTTTCAGAAATAAGTGAAACTCGAGATATTTGCAGATCACCCTTGGAGATGCAGGCGTAACAGGTTTGCTACAGGGAGAGAGGAAAAAAAAAAAAGACATTGCTGCTTGATGTAGTGGATTTTTTCGTTTGCTGAAAAAAGGGAGAAAAAGGACCCACCCACTACCAACCAAAAAAGTATCAAATCTTGTTTGTGGGTGTTCTCCGAAAATCTCTGTGGCATGGTTAAAATGTGGTCTGCAAGCACTGTGCTGAGGGCAGCCACAACTAACTCTTATCCTCGATTGCAGGAGCTACCACCGTAACCCCGGATCGTGTGTGTCAGCTCTGACGAGAAAATTGTCTAGCACAGGCTGTCCAAAAAGATAAAGAATTTCTCATTAGAAAAAACGTTTTAAAAGAACAGTTCCCTAATGTGAAACACTTAATTTTCTGCTTCTCACAGTCCCAGTAGCTATTGGGGGTGTGTGTTTGAAGTGCCGAGAGGGGGAAAATTACTTCTTGCAAGTAAGAAACTACTACGGGTAACGCGTGCTGTCCGCTCTGTCGCAGTGAAGCCTGGATTGGATTTGTTAAACTATTCCTTGCCGTACGTTCTGCTTGCAGATAAGGTTCCTGTCTGTCAAAACACTAGGTGCTGTGGCTCTTGACTCTGCTAAACCTTTCTATTGCTTTGGGGTCCCATCTGATATGGGAAGTGTATGTGTTTGTGAGTGCGTGTGTGTACATATATATATGGATAATGTCATGTTCTGATTTAAAATATGAATTTCTTTTTTTCTGGGAGTGGTCTTCAGTGGTTATTACAGATTTACTGGTTTTGAAGTAATGATGAGAATATACAGAAGAGCATATTGTCTTAATTGTTTATTACAGATGACCAAGATACTAAGACCGATTCTGTTGTATCTCCTGCCAAAAAGCAAGAGCCAGTGCTGCTTCACCAGGAGATAAAGCAAGAAAATGTATCGGGAAAGAAGAAAGTCTCTGCAAAGAAGCAGAAAGTTGATAATGGTGAGAGTACAGCCTGTGACTTAGTTCAGAGAAACCTGACTGTTAAACCTTTTTGTCATCCCTACTTTACTTTCTCTTCCTTTGAAAAAGAAACTTGTAGAAGAGTAACTCTTTTTAATTTGAAAAAGCAGGAATTCCAGGTAGGAAAGATTGTTCAGCCTGAGCTATTTTTTAATTTTATTAACATCTGGTACCACTGAACATGGGATGATGCTGTGAACCTTTCTGAGCTCTTTTGTGTCCAAACATCCACGCTTGAATTGATGAGTAATGGGTTGACTTACACCCTAAGCTGAACAGGCACTAAGTTGCTCTGAGCAAGGCATGTCTGGAACTGCTGCAGTCATCTGCCCCAAACAAGACTGCAGTTTTTTTAGCTGATTGCTTTGACCACGTTCCTCTCTTATTGTCCTTTTGTTAGCTAGCTGTTGCTCCAACATAAACTGTTCATCTTTGCTGTCAAGGCCTTTACTGTTCGTCATCTCTCGTTCTCTGCCAAGATGCTGTTTCTTGTCTCCTCTTGGCTCAGTCTGCCACTGTGTTTGTTTTTTTACAATGAGTGCTGTTGTGTCTCTGGCTTTTGGGAAGAGCGTGACTATAAAGTTCTGCGAGGCCACCTTGTTAGCTTCTCAAAATTCTTATTTACTGGGACAGCGATGAAGAAGTTGGTGGCTGCTGGACTGCTCCTGGAGTAGACAGTGTCAGTCACTGTTTCCTCTATGCTTTGGTCAGGTCATCGAGGTTCAGGTCAGACCAGGGTGGGCTTTCGAGTAGTGTAGGGTTCCTGTGTGTTATGATGACTGAAAAACTTTCAAATTATTCTTGGAAGAAATCTACATGGGGAACCTAGGATGTAATTGCCTTTTGTGGATGTTCTTGTGCTTTTCCTGATGCATTCATTGCCCTTAAGGGACCACAAACTTGTCTGTTTGTGACATGTTCAAATAATGCTCAAATAAGTGTCAGTACCAGCTCAGCCAGCATTAAAGCTGAGCTGTCAGTGCTACAGGGCAATAGCTCATGCATTATTTGAATGCAAGCTGCTTTCTTTTAAAGCCACTCCTCCGAAATGACAGAGCAAAAATTAGCTGTGGTAGGTACCTGCATTAGCCAAGACAGTACTATGGGGATTTCAAATGTTGCTGATGTGAAACGTCCCATTGATGTTAAAAAGGTTTTGGAAGGAGGGGAAGTTAATGAGGAGAGGAATGAGAAAGGTGAGGATGGTAACTGAGTTAGGTGGTGGCTGTTTCTGCTAGAGGAGAGCTCTCCTCATTTCTGAGCTTGCAGTGTACCTGCAGGTGTTTGCTGGCTGCTTAAGTGGAAGGACTCTAGCAGGTGACACAAAAGGTCTGTAAGCCTATTTTCTGCTCCTTAACAGCAGCCAGAATATGAAAGTGTTTTCTAACCAGCTCTTTGACAGCCAGGAATGCATATTTGTCTTGCACTGATGCCTAAAACCTTACATCCCACCTAATTCCTGTTCTTTCTGATCTGCTGCGTAGCATCTGTTGTCCATCAGCCCTTCAGTCTGGGCTGGCTGGGTCAGTGAGCTTTCCTGCTGTGGCGTGGCTCCATGCATAACATCTTCTGTCCTACGGGCAGTGTGAACCAGCAGCTGAGGAGCTGGGCAAACAGCAGATCCAGCTCTGTTAGCTCTGTTGCTGGCCGTATCCATTGTCCTTGGTCTTTTGCTCTTCCTCTCCTCTGCTTTTGTCTCGGCGGTGCAGGCGGAGAAGTTCTTTGGGCAGAGGCTGATCCTCACCCCGTTTTATACAGTGCTGTGTGAATGGAGACCTGAGGTTGGTCAGTACCTCTGGGTACCTCTCTGAATACTAATGATGCCTAAAGCCTTCTCCTGACAGATGAGATATCTCCATTAGGTGCAGTTGAGTCTGCACGTGAAATAAGCTTGATTGCTGTCCCTACCGCATGCTCGACTCAAATGGTTAGTTCACTGGTGATGTAATCTGGGTGAAAACGCTGGCAGTAAGGTACCAGCTTTTAACAGAATAGGGACAAAAGACTTCACTGTTCTCATGCTTCAGAGATGCTGAATGATTTCATACGCAGCCGCAAGTAAACCAGTCTCATTGATGCTATGTGCAAACTTTCTCATTGAAGTGAAATGAAAGTCAAAATGTAAAAGTTCTTCTCTGCTACTTGTTAAAATGCTAAAAGGCTGCTTTGAAAATAAAAATTTAATTGAAGCTATTAAATTACTATGCATTAGAGGCCTTTATTTAATGAACTTACCTGAAGAGCTTTAATGAGTTAAGCTGTGAAGGGTAATAGAAATAGAGAGTATAACTAACTATTGAAGTTAGAGATGCTTTAATCCAGCTCTCTAATGTGTTACGCACCTTTTCTAAAAATATCGATGTTAGTTATTACAAAGCTTTAACCCATCCTGTGGACATTTGGTTACAGTTTTGGTCGATGAACCTCTTATTCAAGCAACTACTTATATTCCTTTGATGGATAATTCAGATGCTGGCGCTTTGGAAAAGAGAGAAGTGGTTGAAGTGGCAAAACAAAATGCGAATGAGGGGATCCAGAAGAGCGGTGGCAAGAAACTGAAGAACGAGACGGATAAAGGTAAGAAACCGATAATGCAGTTTGGCTCTGGTATAGCCTGCTTGCAAACCTGAACAGGGAAAATGCTGTGTATGTGGGGAGGGGGATCCTCTCTTACTTGCCAAGAAACAGTGATTTGAGGAAAGCATTTGTGGCAGCAGGACACTGTTCTTGTCTGTGCTCGTTTCTCCCCTGTCTTTGGCACTGTCAAAAGGGCTTTACGCCATCCGAATCCTTTTAATGCTGACTGTAGGCTTTTGTATCCTTACAGTGAGCAAACGGGTGATGGCAGACCACACAGATGCACACAATCTAGTGCCGCAGTAGGTAGTTCAGGCATCACTAATGGTGCTGGACACTGGAGCTTTTAGCGTGAGCCGTTGGAGTCTGCTTGAGACTGGGAATGCAGCTCTAGGGCAGTTCGTGGAGCGAGCTTGGGCTCATCAGCCAGCTCTTGTCTCTCACTGCAGCACAGTTACCTGAAGCAAATTGCTGGTGGAGATCGAGTCTGACAGGTTCCAGCAAGATGTGAATTTTCCTTTTAATGCAGTTGGAATTGGTTGGGACAGGGGAGCTTCCTTTGTACTCTCCCGTGGAGGCCTGGAGTGGTTTGTGAGTGTTGTCCTGCCCTGAAACTTTAAACAGGCCACTGACTTGCTCAAAGCATGCCAAACTCAACTGAGCCTTGAGGTGAGACCCTCAAATTCGTGGGCAGCTGGAGAGAAGCCAAGTGGCTGAGCAGAGACTCCCTGCTCGGGCTCGTGCAGAGGACTGGCTTTCCAACACCGTCTGCCTGATCACTCACAGTGCTCTTTGAAACCTCTTTTTAGGCTTGTCTTCTAAAATGCTTGAAAGCTGCCTGGCAACTCGTTGTGGTACCTAGATTGGATTCCCACTTGCCTGAGGCTCCTCGTGTGCTTCTAGCTCGATATCTGTGTGTTATGGCCCTGCAGCGTCAAAGCCTCTCCCGTCCCTTCTCATTTCCTTTGCAAGCTGTAGCCTTCTACATGAGCACCTAATTCTCCTGTGTCAGCTGGGATTTGCCCTCCCAATATAGAAATCTTCCCCTATTCTAATTGTAAGCTTCTTGGGTGCAAGGGCAAGGTCTTCGTGTCTTCAGGGAGCACAGGGCTCAGGCTGGTCCAGGCCAACCTACTCTGGGCTCCTGGCTAACCGGACTGAGGTCTCAGGATTTCGGCATATTCCTGGTAACAGCATCATTGATGATGTCAGTGCAGCAATGATGTGATCTGAAGTCTGTGGCCAAGAGTAAGTTGGATTTAGGACTAGAAGAGAGTGTGGTAGAATTTCTGAACGCTTGTCCCTGCATCCCTGGACTCTTTTATTCAGTGATTTGGTTTTGTGCTTGATAATTTCTCTTAGGGGCTTAGTATCACCAGCACTTTTTTGTTCTTCATTTATTTTTCCAACTCTGGAGAGATTTGGGTTTGATGTGTAGCTTGGTTTCAACAGCATGTTTAGTACCTGTGGTGGGAAACCTGGACCATTCTTTGTGGTCTCTGGGACGTTTTCTGAATCAAGCATCACTTTTAAGCTTTTCTTTTTTTTCTTTTTTTTATTCCTCCTTCCCTTTCAGTCCCTTGATGTACTTTTGTGCACTGATGAATATTTGACAGAGATACTGGATGCCTTGGTCTTGTGCTTCCGTTTACTTAAGTTAGAGGGCCACCTAATGACCTACGTGTGTGCAGCCTATTTTTTAGGAACAAATGTGTTTTGTTCCTGTAAGACCATTGTTGAGTTGAATTGTGTTTCCTTGTTTGTGTCTTTTTAAACATCTTTTTTAACAGTTGCTGATTTATCTTCTTGCTGCTGAACTCCTTCTGCAGCAGTTCACTTCCAATCTTAAACTGATGGAATATTTTTCTGGTTTTGATATATTGCAATCAGAAATGTGCCAGTTCTCAAATTTGTTACCTTGTCGTTTGCATATTGCTTGTGGAGCCAGGCTGTCCTTTAAATTAAGAGCTCAGTTTGAATTACTGTCATAACACACTAGAAAGGACTCTTCAAGTTTTCACATTAATGCTATTTTTTCCCCAAAAATCTGTGTTATGCTTTGTCTTCTTGCTAGCGACACTATAAATGTTACCAACTGTACAAACAAAGTGGTGGGACTTTTTTCCCAAAACTGTCAGCTGGCAGATTGTTATCAGATTTAAGTTGGAGATATGTTGTTTTTGCTAAACGTTTGTGACCTTTTGCTTCTTGGCATTTCAGACTGCAATTAAATATAATGCATAATGATACCCTGTCACATGCTGTTTTGAGGCAAAATAAATACTTCTGTATGGAGTCCAAAGTAAATATATCCTCCTTTCTGTGTTGCAGAGAATGCTGAAGTAAAATTTAAAGACTTTGTAATGGCCATGAAGAATATTATCTTCACTGAAGATGAGGCCCGTCGCATAGTGGAGGTGTTAAAGGAGAAATCCAGTGCAATTCATGATGTCTTGCAAAAGGTGAATGGCTGTGGTGGTGGTGGGGAGCAAAGACTATTAACTAAGGAGAAATTGGGAGAGAGGCTGTCAAATTAGCTATATCAATGTTCTGCTGTGATTTCTGCATTCTGTCTTTGGAAGACTTTTTCCAGCTGGTCTGTGCTTGCTTTGCATGCAGAAAGCAGTTGTCAGATGTCTGTGTGCTGCCATCTGCCATCCCATGGGCTGGCTAGACAGGCTGATGGCTTTTGACCGCTCCTAAAGAGCAGACATAACTGTGGAGAATAAGGTCTATAACGTAGGACTGCTGCTGCAGCTGATGTGTGTGTGCTGGCATGGGGGAAGGCTGTCTGGTGACTTTCAGGAACGATGACTTTCATCATTGTGACTTTCACAAATGTGCAAGTAGGATAAACTGTAGTAGAAATTAAGAACAAAGCTGCTGTGGCCGTGCACTTAACTAGCTAATTCTGTATTTGCAAGTCTCTCCATCTTATAAGTCTATATATTCTTGTTGTCTGAGTTCGTTGGATGTTTTTCCTAGGATTGTAGGACAATTCAGATTTGGAAGGGACTGTGGAGGGTCTGTAGTCCAATTTCCTTCTGGAAGCAGGGCCAACTCTTGAGATCAGCCCAGGCTACTCAGGCCTTTATCCCGTTTGGCTTGAAAACTCCAGGGACTGAGACTGCATAATCCCTCAGGGCAACCTGTGCCAGTGCTCGGCAGTTCTTTTTTAATTTCTGTATTAAGACAGAAGAGAATGATGACCACCAGTATCTTACAAATGTCTACTCCTCCTCCCTTCCATGACTTGTGGTTATCACTTGGTGCTTGTAACATCCTGTTTGTCACTCTTGGAAGTCTTGCGGTTCTGTATTCTTCTGCAGATAGGACACCACAACAGAAATGCAGAACTGAGTCTGTGTCAGTTCAGTTAACGCAATATTGTAGCATGTCACTTAATTTGGGTTGGAATGGACTTCAGGAGGTTGTGCAGTCCAACTGCCTGCTGAAAACGGTGTCGACATTGAATTCGGAGCAAATTGCTTAGGGATTTGTCCAGCTGGGTCTCGAAAACCTCCAAAGATGGAGACTGCAGGTTCTTTCTTGGCCCTTGTTTCAGTGCTTGACTAAAAACCCAGCAGTGGTACACTCGCAATGGTATTGCCTCTTTTATTTGGAACAGCTGCCGGCTTGCTTGTGTATTTTTTTTTTTTGTCTTTTAAAGGAAGGATTGGTGTTAAAGCTCAACCTTTAGGATCAAAATGGGTTCCTGGGTTTGTATATCAACCAAAACCTATAGGTTTCTGTAGACAGAAAAGTATTTTCCTTTCTGTAGCTCATGCAAGACATTGACAGTGTGTTTTGTATGGCTTACATATGCAACACCACTCAAGGAGAACTTCCACACAAATTCAGAGTGCATTTATGGGACTGGCATGTCTTTGCTTTGTCAGTTATCAGACTTCATTGAGTCTGAGCGGAAATATTTGGAAGGTTTGCCCCTTACCACAGTTATTTCATTTCAGGACCAGTGTACCAGTAGCAGGACCATGGGGATTGTTCCTCTAGTTCTGGTCCCTGTAGTATCTCTGGAATGTTGTGTCAGTGTGCCAGCAGAAACGTAATTATGTCAACTGGAGGCTCTCCTGTGAGGTGGAAGGAGAGACCAGAACAGGGTTCCCTTTTTCCCTTTGTAGCGAGATATTTCGAGAGATTAAGTTTGTTGGATTATACCTGCTTTGAGCATGGATTGGGCCAGGTGATCTTGGAAGTCCCTTCTAACTGCAATTATTGAATGATTCAGCATCTCTGCAACTTTTTCTTTTCTTTTCTTTTTTTTTTATTTTTTATTTTATTTTTTTTTCTTTTGTTTTTTGTAATGGCTGTTCTTTTGACCAGTGCCACCCGCAGTGGCTCTCTTCCAACACGGAAGCACCTTAAGAGCCCATTTATTCTCTTAATTGGTTTCAGTGCGTTTGAAAATGCATTTCCTCATCTAATGAAATCAGTGCTGCAGGATCCATTAGCAGCAGAATTAAGTACTGGCGGTGCCATGTACGCCATGCAAATGGACGATTCAGGGCCAGGAGGGGTTGTTTCTTCCTCTCAAGTTTGCTCTGCTGCCTGCTAGTGTGCTGTGCAAGTACTTGTGGCATGTGTGATCATTTTTCTCTACTTTTGCTGCAGGCTAGCAAGGCTGAGTTGGCTGCAGCTGTACATCAGCTGCAGGACAAAGAGAAGGTGCTCGCTGCGATGAAGGAGGAGGCAGCCTCTGCAAAGGAGCAGTGCAAGCAGCTCACCCAGGTAAATGTAAAGAGGTTCATGCATATAGAGAGCTGTGGGAGAGGAGCAGGGGCTTGTAGGACTAATGCTGGCAAATGCTGGTTTACTACGCTTAGTATAAAATGAAAAGTGGAATTTTTTATATTGGGAAGGCTTATCAAGACACTATGTTTGGTTTTATGATGCTAGTGATGTATTTATGCAGTTATTTCTCAGTAGTTTTTCCTGAGAGTTCATTTACTGAAACTTTTAAGCTGAGACTATTTTTCTTTTCAAAAGGTTACTTAAAAAAAGAAAACTTCCTTCATGAGTATAATATGGTTTTGTGAATGCAAATATTAAACAGCTTTTCTGCGTCACAGTTTTAGTTTGATATGTACTCTAGCATTCATGTGCTTGTGTGCTTCTAGGCACAGCAATCATCAGTTTCCTTCAAGAAGGAAGCTACAGAAAGTGTGAACTGTCTGCTCAGCCCCTTGAGTTGCAGCTCTGATTGCTTTAGAGTTACAGGGGTGCTGAGGCACCACTGTCAAGACTAGTTTCTGAAACTTCTTTATTATGAAGATTTCAGAGGAAAGCAGTTATGGTAGAACAGATGATTAGGCAGATATGGAGTGAATTGGAGATTCTTTTGGGGAGAGGATTCTTATGTTTTGGCTAGTTTGGAAGCACATGGGCATTAGGCTCAGGAAGGTTGTGTTACAGGACAAAAGTTGGGCACAGAAAGCTCAGTGGCTAAAGATGGGAGCAGAGTGGCCAGTGGATACGGGAGTTGAGAGGCTTGGCAGATGAGAAGGGATTGGGCATGGTGTGAGCTCCTGGCAGGGCACAGGTAGGTGTATATGTGCAGGTGGAATTGAGAAGTTTGGGATAGTCAATATGGAACTGTAGGGAGAAAGGACTTGTGTTTGGAGGGGGGAAAAAGAAGCTCTGGCTCAGGACTGCAGGATGAAAGGGGGGAAGTATCTGCTGGTGAAGAAGCAGAGGGAATATATGACAGAGCCTGAGTTTGAGGGAAGCTGATGTGGTTGGGGAAAAACATCTGCAAAGTGGTGCTTGTGAAGGCAAGGCAGGAGGTGCAGAGAAGTAGGGTTCGTTGGAGGGTTTTGCCATCTGGATTGGGGAAGTGAAGGGAGAAAAATAAATGGATATTCCTGAAAGCTGGGAGAGAATAGGTAAAAGAAGTTGCTGCAGTGCTCAAGTATCAGGATAATCAAGGGAAAAAGCTCAGCTTGACTGACAAAAAGCTCTCACCTTCTAATTAATGAGCTTCTCTGAAAACACTGCCGAAAGCTATGAAGGGACTTTAAGATGCAGCGATATTCCCACAGAGATATTGATAAAGATGATAACAGGAGAGGATACATGAGAGCAAGAGGTGCCTGACCTCGGAGGTATTTGGCAAAACGCAAGCTAGGTGAAAGTTAATCTTCCCAGGATCTCTGACACTGCCTCGGCAGGGTAGCTGGGTTAGTGAGGGCTGCAGACACATGGTGGAATTGGTGGAGGGGTAGAAGGAAGCTGCGGTATGTCCTGATGCCCTTATTTTTCTTGTGTCTTAGCAGATGCACATATAACTCGAAGGAGGCTTTGGGTCAAGCTGGTTTACACTGTGTGTGCAGAAGTGACTTAAAACTTTTGGTGTGACTCAGGTTCCTAAATGCTTCCATGAACATGGGCTTGGGAAGTCATGTCACTTATTTCATTCCGGGGGACCAGGCTCCTGAAGCTACTAAGTTTGACTTGAAAGAGAGAGTAGCTTTTATTTAAATTAAAATGTGAAAAAAAGCTATAATTACTCTGAAGAGATGGAGAGCTTGAATACAGCTGATAATATGGAGGCTTAAATTATGTGTCAGGGCTCCCTGGCACTGTAAGGAGCTGCGTGCTGGGCTGCATAGCTGGAGACACCCGAAGCTTAAGTGGTGCAAATACCTCGTTCTGCGATGGGAGCGTGCTGAAAGCTGCGCTTAATGTTTTTTGCTTACTCCAGCAAGTGCATTTGTACTGCAGAGGAGCAGCTTTATGGATTTCTCAGGTGTCTGGCTTGGATTAGTGGCTGATAAATGATTAATCTAAATAGCAATGTGTATTTTCATTTGAAAGATGTAATATGGCATCATGCTGGTGGCATTCAGGGCTTCTCTGGCTGTTGCTGGGTACTAATAGCCCATCTCCTTTGGCGGAACTGCTGGCTTTGCAACAAGGCAATTATTTGCTCTAAAATGTTGTGGTGTTTTGCCAGTTCTTTACCTGTGTTCTTTGCTTTGCTAAACTTGGGATGAAAATCTAAGCTCTGTGGTATGTGATGTCTGTGGTTTTAATTGTTAGGAATCTGTAATTTGGTCACACTCGATAGGAATAAGACTCCAGCTCTTCTGAGACAACAGAAGATCAGTGTTTAAATTGACAAACCTCTTTTTAATGAATGTGAAATTATGCAGATCCTAAATCCTCATAAAGGTGTTGGAAGTTTGGTCAGGTCTAATGCTATAACTCCCCTGAGCTGAAGATTGATGCTGACTTTGGTTTGGTGCACGCTTGCTATATTTGTAGTTATCTTGAAACACTGACTGTTAGACTCTAGAAAGGATCAGTGGGTGACTTCTTTCCCTTTTTCCTTTCACTTCCCACCCAAGGAGCTGGTTGCAGAAAAGGAAAGGAACGGCTTGCTTACAGCGAAAATGCGAGAGCGCATCAACACTCTAGAAAAGGAGCACGGCACTTTTCAGAGTAAAATACACGTTAGTTACCAAGAATCTCAGCAGATGAAGATAAAGGTAAATGCTTTACCAGAACTGTTGTTGTTGATGTTTGTGCACGAGCAGGTCAGTGCTGAGAAACCGTCACTTTAGCCGAGGTGCAGCGTTTGTCGTTTGCTCATGCAGAAATTGGCTTCATGGGTCACCCCGAGCCTTGAAGGCAGTGTGCTGGTAGCTGCTGGTGTAACACATCTGCATGAGGATGGGAAACTTTGTGGCACTTTCCTGACTTAAAGGAGAGACAAGGAGTTCTCCGAGGTGACTTTCATAGTCTGTAAAAGACCAGTGCTAGCTAGATAGCCTGTATCTGATCTAATTACTTTTCCTTTGTGGTGTTCTGCTGAAATGTTATTCAATTAAGGTGTAAAATCTAATTGAAATACTCAACGTAAGAGAGTCACTAATGCTGATGATCATTTACCAGCTGATAAATCTCATTTTTTTACATTATAGTAAAGTGACAGCATAGCATAATAATATACAAGAAATATCATTGTCTGGGATAGTGCTTTGCTGAAAACATTTGAAGGGCAGACACTTGCATTAAGACCCTTGTTGTCCTCTCCTGAAGTTGTGTTGTAATGGAGTGACTTCAGAAGAGTTTGTTTCATGAGATTAAAAAGTTTGACTTAAAGTTTTCTGAGAAAAATGGTCCCTCTTATGCCAACTTGACTGGTGCTTAGATTTTACATTCTAATATTTTTTTTCCTATATGGATGCTACAACATCAAGCCTAGCACGTGAACTTTCCAGCTTTAATACTCTTATCTTCTGTCCTGGCACTTCGGAGAGTAGCATCTCTGCAGTTTTGGAGCAGAAGTATGTTCTCCTGAGCAGAGACAACTTCCTTTGAACCTATACAGACAATTGCATAAGGAGAGGGTCTTGCTGCTGGCTGGGGGAGGGTGAAGGACATCTGGGTACGACTGGGTGACTTTTGCAAATGCTGATACTGCAGGAAAAGCTGGAGAAAGGATGCACAGAATAACCAGTGCTTTGGTTCTGCTCCCCCTCCTGATGGGTTGTAGCATTGCAGAGAAACTGAAACTTAATTGTCCAGACTTCCAATTATGTGGGGTTTGTGCCCCTGCTTCTGTTGGAATCTTGTATATCTGTTGGCATTAAAAAAAAAAAAAAAAGTGGGGGAAGCAAAGAGGCCTCCCCAACAAACATCCAAGGAATAGCTTGTTACAGGTTTTGCTGCTGAGCTGGAGGTGGCTGCCCTACAAGGGACTGCTGTCTCCTGCTGTGGTTGTTACTGAAACATACATTTGGATTTTTTATATACACAATCCTCCCTGGTGGATCAGCCATTTGATGAAACTGGGTCTTGGTGATGGTGTCAGCCATATCCGCGATCTGGCACTGGTAGAGGAAGAAAGCATTACAGCTGTATGTGCTCGAGCATTTTCAAACCAGGCTGTTGGGGTGTAAGACACCGACTATGTTGTCATCTGCACAGGCAGAGTCCATTTTTTTATTCCTTTGAGTCCTGTCTTTTAATTTTAATTTTGTTTGCAGTCTTCTGAGGCAGCCTCGGGTTATCAGGGCTTCTTTCTATCCCAGTTTGTAATAGTGTTGAAAATTCAATCAAAGCATATTATTGCCTAAATAAAGGATCTATTGTGTAATCTTGACTTCAGGACTAGCCTCCTGCAGTTTACATGCTATGATCTGCCTATTGTCAGTTATCTTATACTTTTTCTGCTTTGTTTAAAGGCTTTGTGAACTTCTAATGTTAATTCACAGTGCGTTTGTTTTATTTCCCTTTGGAAAAGTAATATGTTGATATCCAGTTATTGACAAGTGTCTAAAGTTATACAGCTGAGCAGTCGTATCCTAAGCAACACTTGTGTATTATTTAAAAAAAAAAAAGAAAAAAGATTGCCTTGATACACTGGTATAAAAGGAAACAGATGCTTTTATCAAGCAAGAGGATCTGAGTTGCACAGTTTAGTTTAAGAGTGGATGTGTGAGGAAGGAGGTAAAGCTGCCTCTCTCCCAAAAAAATCTGCTTAGTTTTATTTATTTAAACTACAGTGATCTCTTATCTACTGTTACAAGTTGTTGGTTTTTTTATTGCTTCTGAGTTTAATCTTTTTTGGAATTGATCTTTTTTTTTTTTTTTCCCCTATCAGTTCCAGCAACTCCGTGAGCAGATGGAGGCAGAAATAAGCCACCTGAAGCAGGAAAATGGTATCCTGAGAGATGCTGTCAGTACTTCTGCCAATCAAATGGAGAGCAAGTACGTTAGCAGCTACTCGGAGCCTTGTGTGGTTTGTTTTTTTTTTTTTAAGCCTTCTCTGAAGAGTTGTTCTAGCTTCTGCTCCTTTTGTTACCATCTCCTTGGCCGTCTCTGAATTTGTGGTTAAAATTTGAAGCTCATTTGAAGCCAGAGCTTTTAGGGAGCGGGTGCTGAGGCTTTAACAGAAAGAAGTGCAGAAGTGCTCAGACACAGTTGGTGTTTTTGGCAGGGTATGTATCCTTTCCCCTGGGGCTTTAGGAGAGGTACTGATGCTGGCCTCTTGGGAGAGCAACAGCTCTAAGGTTATAAATCAGTCTTGCAATAAGAAAAAAGCATCGACACCCTGCAGTTAATGGTACCGCTGGGGCAACATGTGGATTTATCTGCTGGTGGTGCACATGTTTGGAGAAACAAGAAGCATCTCAAGGTTTTGTCTTATGACTTAGGCTGTCCTTGAGCTGGCAGAGAGGGTTGTATATGTTGTGGTAAAAGCTGAGCATCCTGATGCGGTGCGTAGTCAGACAGGTGGATTGCTGCCAGTGGGCTTCTGCCTGTAGAAAGCAAAACCAACGCTTCAAATGATGCTCTCAGGTATTTGATCTCTTGGTGTTGGAAACTAGAACCTCAAAACCACTGTCAGGACTTGGAAAGGGCTCCATATCTTCCTTTTCTAGCTATGCTGTTCTTGCAGAGATGCTGCTTCTATATGGACCTTTCTCTTAATGGCCTGTGTGCTGTTGAGTGCAGCTCAGCAGAGGTGCGTGCTGCTCCCTGTGCATGTGTTCCTGGGGCAGGTCGCTGTAACGAGCACGAGAAGGGTGCTGGTGCTCTGATTTTAAAGGTGCCCTGTTTGTAGAAATGAAGCATCAGTGAGTTATCTCAAAATCCTTAATTCAGGCAAACTTGAGATAAAGACAAAAATAAACTGCTTTTTATTTGCTTAGACACAAAGAGAAGCCTTTTAAAAATTCTCCCCTTGGGCTGTACAAGTGCATCCTCTCTCCCTAAGTGAGAGGGTGCATCAGATACCTTCACATGAATTAATAGATAAGGCCAGGAGGCAATGTATAGTCCGAAGACCTGCGTGCAGTTAGTGGTCCAGGAGGAACAGTCTTGAGTAAGTTTGAGATCAATAATCTTTTGTGGGAAAAGGAAAGGAATGTGGATGTCAATGTGAGACCTTCCCTTATGCTGAATCTCTTTAAGCCTGTCCATATTATGCCTGTCAGCTTAAAAATGTTGTAAAGGAACTGATGCTTGTGGCTTATTGCTGACGTTTTGTTTCTGACTCAGTGGGTTGTAGCTGCTGTGCTGATGGCCAAGAGTACCTGACCCTCATCCCTTTGCCAGGATGAACCAGTGTAGGGAGGGGAAAACCAACCCAACACAGTACAGTCCTCTGGCTGCAAATATAGGGCTTGATGTTGATATTTGAGTGACTGTTGTTATGTCCTGTGCTTCTTATGGGGGGAAAGAGAAAAAGCTGTGAAAATGTTTATTTTTAGGCAGTCGGCTGAACTGAACAAACTGCGCCAGGATTATGCGAGGCTGGTGAATGAGCTGGGAGAGAAGAGCAGCAAATTGCAGCAAGAGGAGCTCCAGAAGAAGAACGCAGAGCAGGCGGTTGCTCAGCTAAAGGTGACTTGGGTTTGTCTCTGCCTGTTGAGTTGAGCTCGAGTCTTTATCTGAGCCAACTTCCGAGTCGAGTGGGATGTGACGCTTGTGAGAATCGCTTTGGCTGTTCCCTGGCCACTAAATCTCTGTCGTCTTTGTATGTGCAAGTATCTATTTTCAGATAGCTCATAGGCTGCCTCAGCCTTAGAATCATAGAATGGTTAGGGCTGG